TTACTGGCCAGCTTGTGAAGTGAAAAAAAATGGCTAGACTGAGCCACAGAGCACCTGGGCCCTGGACCACAAGCTGAACTACCCGATTCTGTGTGGGCAGGGAAGGAGGATGAGACTGACCAGGCGGGCTCCTCACAGGAGCTCTGAGATCTGCAGATCTGCACCCAAGAAGGCCTGGAAGCCTCACAGAGGTAGCTACAAACTGACCACAATCACCATTTTTATACAAGTTAGGTGAGGGGGGAGGGGGGAACATGACATTATTCCAAGACAAAAGGAAACACAGACATAGTGTTTTTGTGCCTATTTTAACACCCCGTCTGTGGGTGAGAAAGAGCATCAACTCCAGCAGAGGCCAAGCGCAGTGGAGGCAAACCCGTTGGTTTTTGATCTGTGGCACTCCCTGCCCTCGCCGCTACATACATTTCCTATTTCTGAGACTCAGCTCTGGCCTGGATCTAATTACGCTTTTAGGACGGCTTTGTTGCTGTGGACCAGTTGTTCCCTGACAGCTCAGCAGGGTCCCCCGTGGCTCAAGGTCTCTCTGAAGCTGCAGTCACAGCAGGCTTGCCTGCCCGAAGCTAGAAAACTGCTTGCAAGTTCCCTTCCAAGCCACAGCTGATAATCCAAGGGGCAGAGAGGCTGGAGACAGCCGAGAGGGGAACTGCTTCTTTCAGCACCAAGTCTCAGAGGTGACATCGCATTGTTCTCAAATATTCTAGTTGAGAGAAGTAAAGCCCTACATCGGCCGCTTCCTAAGAAGAGGGGTTGATTGCTCATGGGCAGAACTACCTGGAAGTAGATCTCACCAGAGGCCGGCTTAGAGAATGCCTGCCCCAGCCACCCTGCTTAGCTTCATATCAGTAATCATGGGTCATTAGCTTTGCAGGGTTGGCGTGACAGGGTGTTCTGGTCATCATTTTTCTTTCTACTTTACAACTTGGGGACAATAAAAAGACAGGGAAAAAAATAGATGAAAAGTATTCCAGAAGAGATAAGTTTTCCTAATCCTCGGCCATTGCACGAGGATCTTGGCATCTTCATAAACGTCTGCGCTGAGTCTGTTCTTGTGGTAACTTAGCTGCTAAACATGCTGGCAATTCCAACCACACTTCACTTAAATGTAACTTCATTGGAGCAGTGTCCTTGGCCCCTGTTCAGAACCTGCAATCATTTCCATCTGATCAAAATCCCACCCTACACAACTACCTCCTCTTCCAGCAGCCTGTGACTCCTGGTTGCCATGACAGCCCTTAGAATAGCCAATGTGTTTGGTAAACGATTGTCAAATACAAACAAGCATCCTTAAGTTCAATATACCCTGGAGCATGCTTGGTATTTCCTTGTCAACGGTAAATACTCAACATTTCACCCAGCAGGAAACAGAGCATCACTTAGCTGTGGCTTATGGCAGAAGGAAACAGCTGATTCTTCCCAGCCACTCAGACTACCAGACACTGGATGATACAGGGAAAGTGCATTAAAATCATCCCTTTAAAGGCCAAGGGGAATGATCATGAAAGACCCCACAGAGAGCTAGACTTCCGCTTCATCCCTAGACATCCTAGACATTGTCTCAGCCCTTACAACTACTTTCCATGTCGCCAGGCCTTTCCTGGTATAATGCATGGCCTTCCCCTAGTTCTGACCTCCGGAGAAACGACGGGGGCCTTTAACATTCCATATTCTGTCGCTGCTCAGTGTGCTCTGCTTTTGGGGAGGTGGGAGCATGTGACGATTCTTTGTAGCTTTCTCTGCTTGTTCCTATTACTGATAACAGGAAGCCTTTTGTTTTATTTTTTGTTTTTTTTTGTTTTGTTTTGTTCTGTTTTTGTCTTAGTCTATAAATCATATTCAGGAAGGAACACCTAGAATAGCATGTGCTTGTTTTTATAAATCCTACCTATGTGTGTGTGGGGGGTCCTAACAAGGTGCTGTGGCTTAAAGAGAGACATCAAACTCACAATCCATTCTTCCTGATGCCCGCTAAAAATCAGAATTGTGGCCTAATCTGAAACGACTGAGCTCTGCTGATGTTCGATTCCAAAGGCCATCTAGAATTAAAATCAGAGACGGTCTTTTTCTTCCATTTTAAAAACTATATACATTAAGAAGCCTCTCTGGGTCTCATAGTTAAGTTAGTGCATGTTTCTAAAAATTGTGGTGGAGCTTTAAGAACAACTCTCAAATTAACTTGAGGATGCGTTTGTCATTTTTAACCTATTATTTCTTCATGATATCTAGGGGAGGGGGCAGAAAGGGAGTCCTCACGTTATAGACTTGCTCAGACAACCAAGTTGCCAATGGTGACCTGTCAAAACCGAGGCAAAACAGAACAAGTTTGGTCTCCTGGCCTTCAACTCTGAGCTCTTTATCAGTCTAGAAACAAACACAGCACATCACACTGACTGCATTTCCACACATGGAAGTACCTTTTTTTTTTTTTTTGCTACTTTAATTCATGTTCTCAATTCTCAAACATATTTTATCCAAAGACAGTGGCTGTTTAAATAAGTCACAAAAATCCTGTCACTACATCTGGAGAAATGATATCTTCAAGATTTCACAAGTTCCATGTTTTAGCAAAAGCCTCCCCTCCTGTTCAAGACTCTGGAAGACGCCCATCCACATGAAATGGAGAAGGCCCATCTTACTCACAAGAGGACAGAATCATGGCTGTCCCGCCGCCTGGGCCCACACAGAAGGCTTGGGTCTCCAGCCGAGTCCCCACTCACAGCAACACATCTTTCGACTGAGAGCGTCGTTGGCTGTGACGTTTCTCGCAGGCAAAGTTCACCCCACCTATTTTCCTGTTCTGAAACCTCAGAGAAGTGTGTGAATGACAAGCCAGTGGCCTACATAAGAAAGTTCAGAACTCGGCATCCACATCTGAGATGTTTGCTAGCACTTCCTCATGCCTAGATGTGTGGGTGTGTCTTGAAAACGCTTTGAAGAAATCACAGAATTTTGCTAAAGGGGATTTTAAAAATGATCAACTCAAGCTGCCCTCTCTGGGCAGAGTCTGGAATAAAGGAACCAAGGAGAAGGAATTTTTTTGCCCAAGGGCTCACAGTGGTACAGGGAAAATTGGATTCTAGGATTATGAATATTCAATCTAGAATGTTTGGTCCTGAGTCAGGACCGACTCCAGGAACCTGATTTGGGATTAGGTGAGAATTTGTGTGGCTCACACCTTTAATCCCAACACTCAGGAGGCAGAGGGGGGTGAATCTCTGTGAGTTCAAGGCCAGTCTGGTCTACATAAACAGTTCCAGGACAACCAGGGCTAAAAAAAAAAAAAGAAAAGAAAAAAGTAAAAAAGAAAATTGTTCCTAACTGTTGTCAGTGGTATTTGCTTTATTTTCCCACAGAAAGTATTTGTATGGGCTAGGGAAATGGCTCAGTGGATAAAGTTTTTAACGCAGAAATATAAGGACCCGAGTTCACGTGATTGACAAGTGGGCGTGGTGTTCCACCAGTAAGCCAAGTGCAGGAGAAGGGGAGACAGGAGAGTCTAGGGCAATCTGGCTAGCTAGACCGACCAAACTAGCCAGCTCTGAGTTCAGTGGAGAGGTTCCACCTCACGACATAAGGTGGAAAGCAATCAAAGACACGTAATGTCGGCCTCTGTGTGCACACACGCACACACACAGTGTGCACACATGTACACACACACACACAGTGTGCCCACATATACACACACACACAGTGTGCCCACATGCACACAGAGACCCCACCACCGAGACATACACGCGAAAAAAGTATTTGAAACCGTTCACACAGGAACTGTACCCTCCGCTCACTCTCCTGGGCACCAGCGACTTCCTCTCACAGCTCATCCAGGTGAAAGGGGAGCATGGGGGTGGGGCGGGGTGACAGAGGTGTCCGGTAAACCTGCACAGGACCAGCTCCTTCGGGAGGAGGTACAAGTCGGTTCAAAGGTGTATGCGGTTTTGTGGCGTGGGCAGTTGGAAGGAATGTGGCAGATTGTGCCAAGACTATTTTACTTTTCTCCATGATAAAAGGTCCAAGAAGGAAGTGAACACAGCCTCCAGCACAGCCTTCAGTTTGGTGGGCACAGACTCCTGGCCAAGGAGGTGGTTCTCTGGAGTCAGAGGGAAGAGGAGTCTTCTCAGGGAAGCCAGCTCCCGCCTGTGCGTCCACCAAAAGCTCCAGTGTGGGAGAGCTCCCAGCAGCTCCCAGGGGGCACTGACTTGTGAAGGAACAGTCCTTACCTTCCTCAGCTTTGGGGGCTCACAAATACCAAGAACAGTGTGTTAGGAAGTAAACGGTTCCTACTGATAGTAGTTGGGTTGGCTTCATTTCCTAGAAGCTCATGAAAACAAAAAAAAAGGGGGGGAAACTGTGTGAGTGAGACACCCACTCAAACAAACTGGACCGCAGGGTCTACTGCAAGGCTGAGATGGATGACGGTCTTACTAATCCAGGGACCCAAGTCCAACCAGGCTTCTTGAACAACACATGGCAGCTCAGAACACCTTCTCTCTAGATCCCTTGGCAGCATCCTGGACCACCACAGGCAAGCTGCTCTGGGGACCTCTGGTCCAGAGCCCAGCACCTCAAACGGAGTATCCGCAATGCCCTGGGAACATTCTTAAGACTTTTGAGGTATCTAATTCTGTCATTAAAAGTTCCACCTAACTCTAACCAGCTCTGGCCACCATGGTCAGGGTCAAATAGCTCATCATAGGCCGTAGGCTGTGGTTCAAGGTGGGCCGACGTGTATACTTGTATGAGTCTACTTGTGAATCAAGCATTTAACAACTGAAGGACCCAGGCTTTCTTCTCTTCAGAAAGCAGTATTTGATCCTTGGGGGAGATAGAATTGGCAGTTGTTAGAATTAGGACTAGACATTCTCTAATGCTAAAATTTTCAATTAAAGGCAGACCTCTGTAAGTTCAATGACAGCCTGGTCTACATAGTGAGACCCTGTCTCAAAAACAATAACAAAAATTTCAATTAAAGAGGCAAACTCATGTTTCTTATAAATATATAACTTTATATATTATATGTATTTACAACATGTACAGTATACAGATTTTTTAAATGTACTAATAACAGGTTTGGAAGGAGATGTTTTCAAAACAGAGGATTACTACTTATTCAGGTGGGTTCCTGCTTTACCTAGAACTCGGCTGTAGACGACACTCTAGGCCCAGGTTTAAAGAGAAGCCGAAGGGCAGAGGAGAGTTGCTGGGTCACGGTTCCTCCCCTCCCCAACATCCTGGCATTCGGCTAGCCAGCTAAGGTAGCCTCACGTTCATCCCCAAACGGGCAAACCCCGAAGGCTGGGGCACAGTGTCTGGTGCCTTGTTAGCACTCAAGCTCTTGAAGGAAGGAGCAAAGTGAGCGCTTCAAGTCCCCAGCTCCAAGACACCATCTCCTCAGCCCACAGAGCAGCCACAGAGCTGAGGCTGCACCGGAAGCCGAGGCTCTGGCGTACCCACGTTGTAAGTAGAGCTGTCCGCACTCCCAGGTGCCAGCTGAATTACGTTCCCACCGCAGGCTGTTTCTTCCTCGTGCCTGGGAAACCGCAGCCACCATTTATCTCCCAAAAGTTTCTTCACATTCAACTAGTTCATCTATCGTACGCAGCAAATCTTCGAAAGAAGGCCTCCCCTCTGGTTTCTTCAAAAAGTCAAAAAGAGAAGCTGTGATTTCAGAAGCCATTCCCAAGAAAACTCTCACTGCTCAAACCCTGTGGAACCCGGCCCAGGCAAGAAAGACTCGGGGGTTGGGGAAACACAGACTGACCCATCTGTGCCCTCCGTAACACCCTGGCTGCCAGACTCCCCTTTCCTCCCCTGATTTCATATCTCTGCCCAGGGAGCTACTAGAACTCCATGGTGCCTAAGAAATCAAGTCTTACTCATCTGGACCGCCCCCCTCTGTGACCTGCCCCTCCCCCACCTCCTCCTCACCTAACCTCATTTCCCACCCAAAGCCTCACTCTGGCTCTTTGTTAAATCAGACTAGGCTCCACCCTCGGGTACACACACCATGTTTACAACCAACTCCTGCCCTTTGTTCATGTTGCTCTCTCTGGTACTGCTTCCTGCCCTGGCAGCCTCTGCCCACCCCAATGGGTACTCGTGGGAGGTAGTACAGAAAGTGAGAGGAAGCCTCAGCTTTGGTGCCAGATGGGCCTCTGATGCTCCGTGGGGAACTGGTCCTGGGCAAGCACCACCCTCTCCCATCAAATGGTCACAGTCCAAGTATCCACACCTCCAAGGGTTCTTTTGAACACTAAACCTAAAGGACTCCATACACGATATATGTGAACGCCGCTCGAGAATCTGTCTAGTGTTTAACCCCTTCTATGGAGGTGACATTTCACTGCTTCTAGAGATTAAGTAAGATGCCTAGAGACACAGAGATCAAAGAAGAACTCTTCCCTAGAAAGAGTGATGCTTCAAACCCACAGCTACTGCAGGGGAAGGAGAGGAGCAACTTCTCCAGGTTTGTCCCCCAGCCCCTGGCCGTGATGGCACTCCCACTTGGGAGTGAGGCATCAGCCTGAGTGCGGTAAGCTAACTCTTAGCATCCTCCATCTCTTCAGATTCTTCTCAATACTTAGAACGGAGATAAAGACTGGGCTTCCTGCCGGAGCTTGAAGGAGGCGTGTCCTCTCCAGGCTGTGAGGACAGTACCTTCCCCATCCACTGGGCCAACCCTGGATGTTCCACAGATCATAAGACAACACAAAGAAGTAGATACCTCCTGCCAACACCTCAGCATCACCTCATACAAATATTTGGATGCCAACTTCGGCCGGTGGAGTCGGTGGCCTCGAGTAACCATGGTTACCACTTCGTAATTGGTGTTCTTCTCAAAGGGCATCCTGCCTTCTGTGAATACTTCCCACATTAGAACACCTACAGGATGATAAGGTTACTCAATGATGTGTTTGCTTCCTCCTCGAGGGGAGGAGGGGGGAGGAAACTCGCATCATGGACCTTACCAAATGACCAGACATCCGACTTGCTGCTGAAGCGACTGTAATTAAACACTTCCGGGGGACACCACTTCACCGGGAACTTGGCACCAGAGGAGCTGGTGTACTGATCATCCAGAACATACCTAGGGTGAGACACACGGTCGCATGTCAGACGTGGGCCTTCATTTCCCGCTTACGAAGACGAAAGAAGACACTAACTGAAGTCTACCACCACCTAGCTGAAGCGAAACGTTCAGCTCATGGCCTGGCCTGGTGATGTCTATCTCCACAGCACAAGTTAAGGCCATGAGAAGACAACCTCATAACCCTACTGTGCACACCTTCATTGTTCTGCCGTTCATCTTTCTTTTTAATGAGGCACAGGGGCGGAACACCATACAACTGTTGCAAACTTGTGGGTGTGTGATTTTGGTCTCTGGATAAAATTTCACCCAAAGGCCCTGTGTGCAAAAGATCTAAAGCAGAGCTGCCTAAAGGAAGTGGTAACAAGTGACTGGAGATACCCGTGCTCTGAGCTTCCACAGTTCCACGGAGTGCAAATTAAAACTAGAGCACATGAAAAGAAGGGAGAAAAAAAAATCAGAGGTGAAAAGGAGTACAAAAAGATGGTAAATATATTCATATACCATAACACCATCCATCCACACATACTCGATCTTTTATTCCTTTTCTATGTGAACATATATAGGCCCATCCAGAAAGAAACATGGAAACTGTAACACTGACCACTCCCCGGGAGAATCCTTGATACTAATCCTTGATACTTGATGGCTGTGAGGACTTCAGCACCTGTTCATCAGAGGGACTATTACTGCATGATATATTTAGATACCGTTAATTCTAAAGCTGCCATGTGAAAATATTAAAAGGAGTGCACAAGTGTCCTCTTTGAGATGGTACAGATAAAGATGGTATCAGGCAGACAATGCCATCTCGGGCTGGATCACATACTTGTCAGTCCGGTGAGTCTGAATTTACTGCATCAAGAGTAATTTTACAAGGATGGTATAAAAGCACCAACTTCCTGAGAGCCAAATATGTGAAGAGTGACTATAAGAAAGTGGAGGGCCGCCTGTCAGATGTGAAACATCTTACACACAGCATGTAGAGAGGGCTGGGTAATTAGGACTTTGAGAGTCGGAAGCTGCCAGTGACAGCGTTCTGACCTCTCTAGGCCAGCATCTTCTTGGGAGCAAGTCTTATCGTCAGAGGACCCAGTACTTCTCTGCCTTCATAACTGTTCTCAGATCTGCCTCTGGACCAACTGCCTGGGCCCTCTTCTGGTTCCCCAGGCAGCTGACACTAGTTCCAGACTTCAGGTGGTACCAGCCCCCTGCTTCTTTTACTTTGTGGCTATTTTCTGTGGTGTCCGCTCAATGTTCCCATGTGAGAAAAGTCTTTCTGGTCACCAGATCTCCAGTGGCTACCTCCACCCCTCAATCTCTTTCGAAGAAGACAGCAAACTCTTTCTGAGAAAGACCAGATGACACATAGAGGATTTCAGATTCTGCAGGACACACAGTCCCTGTGATGACTCAAGGTTTTGCCTCTGCAATGTGAAAGTGGCCACAGACAGCCACCCACAATTGGTCAAGCTTGTGTGTCCGAATAACATTATGTTTTTGTAATGGACAATGACTCAAATGTCAGATAATTTTCAGGTGTCCTGATATGCTTTTAGTTTCCTTTTCACTGTTTTTTTTTTTTTTTAAATGAAAAGTCCATCATTGACTCACAGGATAGACAAAACGACACAGATTGAACTGACAGGTCACCACTTGGGGACCACCCCTATCACAGCTCTATCACAGTCATGGGCTCCAGGTCTATGTATCTCCCTTCTCCGGCCTTTAAGCTGCATGCGGGCAGGACCTTCAGTTTGGACTCTGCTTCGGTCCACATTGTTAGGTTTCTCACACAGCACCTGACTAATATATCCATGACTCAACAGACAGAGGAGAGACAAGATGCTTTTTAAGAGTCTATTCTAACACTATTAAAGTCACAAAAGTGAAGAGATTAAAAGAATTGCAAACACGGCTATACTAAGTCCTGGCTCACCAAACACATTCCAGAAGATTCTAAGGAGAGAGAGAGAGAGAGAGAGAGAGAGAGAGAGAGAGAGAGAGTATTTAATAGGTTCTAGTACCATCTAGTGGAGAGAATGACTAATACCACAATATATAGTTCCATTAACCTTGAAACAGCTGAAGAAATTTCCCTTTTGCTTTATTGGTGCAAGTTATTCCCACATTAATTTTTTAAAGGCATGGTCTCCAGTAGCCCAAGCCGGCCTCAAATTTGTTATATAGCCCAGAATGACTTTGAAATCCTGATTCTCCTGTCTCTACCTCCAAATACTGGATTATAAGCAAGTATCACCACGACCAGGGCCCATATTGTTGTTTCAGTTGGGGGGGGGGGTAAGGTATGCTTGTGGGGGTTATGGGTGCATATAGAGAGCAGAGGACAACCTTGGGTGGTGTGATTAGGAACACGGTCCACCTACCTTGGGATAGATCCTCGCAATGGCTAGAGTTCACCATTAATCTAGGCTGGCTAGCCACAGAGCACCGGGATTCACCAGTCTCTGCCTCCTCAGTTCTGGGATTATAAACCTGAGCCACCACCCCAAATTTTTTTTTCTTGGGTTCTGGTAAAACTCAGGTTCTCATGTTTAGGATGCAAGCCGTTTACCTACTGAGCTATCTCCCAAGACCTTCCCACGCTTATTAATTATTCAAAATCATGTGATCAGCACTTAAGAGCACACAGTACTCAGCCATACCTGGCCATTCCAAAATCAGATACTTTCACAACTCCTGCTTCATTCACTAGACAATTTCTGGCAGCCTGGAAAACAACATTATGATGTTACATTTATTAGAAAGTCCTACAATAAAGGAAAAACAGAAGTCCAATTTCTAGTAAATATAACAAAGTCAACAACAGAAAAGACATAAATGTGTTGTGGAATATTAGTTGAAGATGTGTTACATTTGTTTATTCAGTGGAACATTTGTTTAATGACGAAAAGATGTGTTGCATTCTTTTATGTTGCATTTGTTTAACTCTGTAAAGCTGTGTTACTTTACCTGTCTAAAACACTTGATGGGCTAATAAAGGGCTGAGTGGCCAATAGCTAGGCAGGAGAGAGAAACAGGTGGGGCTGCCAGGCAGAGAGAATAAATAGGGGGAGAAATCTAGGGAAGAGAGAGAAAAGCAAGAAAAGGAGGAGAAGGATGCCAGGGGCCAGCCACCCAGCCACATAGCCAGGCATGGAGTAAAGAAGGGGAAAAAAGACAATATAGAATAAAGAAAAGTAAGCCCAGAGGCAAATGTAGTTAAAGAGAAATGGGTTAATTTAAGTTAGGAAAGCTGGCTAGAAACAAGCTAAGCCAGGCATTCATAAGTAAGAATAAGTCTCCGTGCACTTATTACAGAGCTGGGTGGTGGACCCTCAAAGAGTAAAAAAACAAAACAAAACAAAAGAAAACAAAACCAACTACATAAATGTGTCCATATAAATTGTTTACATCTCAACAGAAGGTACCTCCAACATGAATCTGAAATAACCTGGAGAAATAATTTAGAAATGCCACAAGGTATTACAACATATCTTCACCATCACACTTAAAGAGGCCTGATAGACATTCCAACCTTCTTCCCTGACCAGGCATATTCTTAGTAGACTGTGTGATTTTTCTCATGGACAGTGACTAGACCCCTTGAAGTCTGTAATCTAGATTAAAGATGAATTCTCTCTAGGTGACAGAAACACACAATCACTGAAGTGACAAGTAATCTGTGAGTGTTTCCCTCAACTGTCAAAAGAAAGGCTGTGTGTAACAGGATTGGCTTTATCATGTACGAGATTTCTAATATATTAAGACATAATATACTCAGTTGGTAAAACACAAACACGTAGTTTTTGTTTTTTGATCTAGCTTTCAAAGTTATGTGATTCAATAAAATAATTTGGTACAATGACACAGTACTTCTCAGAAGCAAGATAATGATATTTTTAACACCACAACCCACGGGACAAGGTGTAGTTTTCTCTTGGACTCTCGAGATGCTTATTTTTTTTCTGTGTGGCAAGTCCCCTTACACGATCTTCCTTCTTCTGAGCACATTTGAGAGCCTCTTCTCAAGTGAGAGTTAATGCCCATGTCCTGAATTACCTGCACCCTCCCATGAGGACAGCCACAGTACTGTCACTCAAAAGCCCGTGACATTACTTTACCAGGGAACAGGCCATCAGACTCTTCCTTTAAGTGTGGGGAAAACCTGCCAGAGTTTATTATCAGTATCACAGGCCCCCAAAAACATCAAAATTCACTCTCAAGGAAATAAATTCTATGCAGAAAGTGCAAGAGTCGTGAAGATATTCAGCTTGTAACCGTTTTATAAGAACAAAAACAAGGACAATGCTTAACTCGTGAGTTTCAGTATGACAATTAGTCTTTGTCACAGTTACACATCAAAACTATGTCACGCCTGCCTTACAAAGCCCTTCGCCTCCATTATAGGCCATGAACTTTAAAATAGCGTAGTGAGCAAAACAATGGTGTGTAAACTGCAAATCCAGTTTACAGAGTGGATAAGGTGCTAGCCCAGAACACACCTAGGAGATCAAGTCTTCCATTGCCAAATCCTCGGTGTGTTACTATGCTTTAAATCCAGAGGAGAACATAGCAGTTAGAGCACTGATCCTAAAGGCAAACTCTCTGGGTTCAAATCCTCCCCCCACCATTTCCCTGATGGCTGCTGATTGTTTTATCCAATTCCACTCCTTTCCTTTGTCTGTAAAACGGAGACAGGAATGACATTTGGTTGTTACGATGACCAATCGAGTTTGAATTTGCACGGTATGAAAGCGAAGTGGATCCACACTCCATCACAAGGAAGCTAAAACCAAAGTGGGGAGGGGGCCATGCAAATTCTCTCTGTTTTGATGGAAGAATCAAGGAAGGCGGACTGTGCCACTTCACACTGAAAACAGAGGCATTTGTGAAGAATGGCTGGGGAGGGGAAACAGGAGGGAGAGAAGAACGGAGGGGAAGTGGGAACTGAGAAGTGTCTCCACCACAGTCACTTAGAACAGGGCTCTTGTTTTGTTCTGTTTCCCTAGTCTTCTCAGAAGGAATGAAAACTCCCGGAATTCCCTCTTCGTTGAGAGATAATGGACATGAGCTTGGGGTTTCTCCGGTAATTTCTGTTCACAATGTGTAAAGTGGGAAAGAGCCTGCAAGCTGGTCAGAAGGTCAGGGCGAAGCCTGACTTCCCCATTTCTCACAATAGGCAAGCCACATCCACGTCTCCAAAGCTAACATCCTTATCTGTGACACAGTGACAGGGAGTAAGTCTGTTATGAATTGGTATCTCCTGGGAATTTTCCAGAGCTCAAATAATTCATTCGTGGAAACTTGCTTGGAGATATTAAGTCTGTAAGTTATGAGATTTAATGAAGGCCCTTTCCTTTAAAATTATCAAGTGATTGAAATTTACCAAGTTTTAAAATAATAAAATCTTGCTAAGGACAAAGGGGGCTAACACAACACAGCTCACTGACTAATGCAGTGTGGCTGAGGAATCCAGCCAGTGAGGGGGAAGCCACGGGGAGCGAGGAGGGGAGTGGGAGGCTGAGGGGACCATGGTTACCAGGTCTCTGTGGATGAAGCTGTTTCTCTCCAGGTACTCCATCCCTTCACATACATCCTGACACATGCTCAGCAGCACATCTCTACTGAAATGGCCTTGTCTCTGTCGGAGGAAATTCAGAAGGCAGCCCCGTTCCATGAACTCGGTAACGATGTAGATAGGTTTCTGCTGGGTACACACGCCATAGAGTTGGACCAACTTGGGGTGTGTTAGCTTCCTGGGAACAAAGACAGACACACAGAGAGTTACCACAGGAAAAGAAACCACAGGCGTATGTGCTGGGTGGGGCCAATTTTTAATACAAAAGGGGGGGGGGTCCTCGTAGAAGCTAGAAACTGACATCATGTTTAGATGTTTAGTTAGAGAGATGGCTCGGTGGTGAAGAGCATGGGTTGCTTTTCCAGAGGACCTGAGTTTAATCCCCAGCACATGAGGGCTCACAATCATCTTTAACTCCAGGGGGATCTGATGCCCACTTCTGGCCTCTATAGGTACTGTGTACACATGGTACACAGTCATACATGCAGGCCAAACACCCATATATGTAAAAGTAATAATGATAATGATAGAAAGCAACTTACATCATGACTTTTGCTTCCTCTATAAAATCCTCCTCACACATGGCACCTTCCCGAATAGCTTTGATGGCTACTTTGTACTGGGCTCGCCACTTGCCCAGCCTCACCACTCCAAACAGTCCACTCCCCAGCTCCCTCATAAAGGTCAGCTCTGAGGGGTTGATCTCCCACTTCTCTGTAAGACAGATAGGACAAGGATACCTTTACAAAGAAGAGCAGTGTGAGTCCATGGGGAAACGAGATGCTCCAAACAAGACCAACACCACAGTCCTAGATAACACAGGGATAATTACCAGGAGACACAGAACAGAGATGCAGCCTGTACCTGGACACCCAGACTGCACAACCAGTGAGGACCATGATAACAACTGTTTTAGCAGTGACATGTTTAGTTTTTACCTATGGAAACTATTTTCTATAAATAAAGATGAAAACAGAAAATCTAGTGTTACTGTAAAACACAATCATGTAAAAGCCCACTCTGTTGATGCATTAGAAACAGTTATATAGCTTACACCCATAGAATTCTTTTGCTAAAACCACAGATTCCTCATGTGGGCCCACAGGGTGACTCATGCAGGGTCAGTGCCTGGTATCTCTGCCTTTGTCTGCATCTGTCTCATTTACTTCCAGTTACATACACGTGCAAAGACCGTCTATCTAAGACCTGGTGATGATAGCTAACTTACCTTCTCCCCTACATGGATGAAGGTGCAAGGGTGAGAGGAACTGAGGCATCTTACAGATTTTACAACATCCTCTTCTAGATGCTCAAAAGACACTAAAGGTCTCCAAGAACTGTCTGAAACCTACAGTCTACCTCTGACTGCAGGAATAGCAGCATCTCCCAGGACAGACTGCCCATCAAGTTCAGGTACAGTTAGTTATTCATGAGGGCAAGGCTGCACCCTAGAGCAGGAGCAACCAGCTCTGGAGAACTAGCTTGTCCCCTCAAGCAATAAAGACTTCTTCAGACCACCTTGCAGGACCAGATCTGAGATAATTATCAACCTGTGGAATATTCCTTTACATTATGTGAATATATGTCACTGTGATTGTTTTAATAAAGAAGCTGACTGGCCAATAGCTGGACAGGATAAAGTTAGGCAGAAAAGCCAAACTGAGAATGCTAGGAAGAAGATCTCAGTAGTCACCAGCCAGACACAGAGGAAACAGGATGTGTTCAAAAAGAGGTAACAAGCCATGAGCCACTTGGTAAACTTAGATAAAAAAAATATATGGGTTAATTTAAGTTGTAAAAGCTAGTTATTGGGGCTGGAGAGATGGCTCAGAGGTTAAGAGCACTTGCTTACTCTTCCAAAGGTCCTGAGTTCAATTCCCAGCAACCACATGGTGGCTCACAACCATCTGTAATGAGATCTGATGCCCTCTTCTGGCTTGCAGGGATATGTGCAGACAGAACACTGTATACACAATAAATAAATAAATCTTTTTTTTTTTTTAAAAAGCTAGTTAGTAATAAGCCTGAGCTATCAGCTGATCATTTATAATTAATAATTGAGTCTCCATGTCTGTTATTTGGGAACTGGTGGGTGGGAAAGAAAAGTCCACCTACAAATGGTGCCCAAACATTTGGCACCTACATTCATATAAAACCTGAGAGAACTTGGGAAAGGGTTCTAGACACACAGAAATGGAGCCAGGCATGGCTTCCTAGTCTCATGTCTCTCATGCCGGCTGTGGTACCAAGAGGCATCTCCTGGCATCTGCCTGCAGGAAGAGCCAGCCTCCATGCACTACTGCCATACACTAAGCTAAGCTACTCTGGCAGTGGCTGACATATCAGTTTAAGATTCATCTCATGGGATCAAAAAACAATACAGACGCTTGGTTAAAAAAAAAAAAACACAGATCTAGGCAGAAAAAAGCCTTTGAATGGGTTATGGTGTGTTTTAAAGTATACATAGGCTTTGGAGAGAGAAGAGTATATTCAGTCATAGATTTAAAAATATAGTTTTAAAATAATAAAGCCTTTAAAAAGGGAATACAGTGGTATTTTTAAAAAGTCATGTAAAGATAAAAAATAGAGTCTGGATACTGTATATTATTGTGTTGTCTTTGAATTTTTTGAATGCTGATGAAGAAGTAATAGCTGTTAGGAGACATTGGATTATAAAAGCTGCTGAATTAAAGCAATCTATATATTTTAAAAATATCTTGACTTCAGAGTGGAAGTCAAAAGATATGTTACTTTGGGGAAGAGGTTATGTTCTTATTTCCACAAGAAATGAAAGGTTGTGGATTTGTTCAAAGTTAAAGGTGATTAAGTTAGATTGAGGAAGACCCCTTGAAAATTCTGGTTACAGACATAAAGAAATAAATCTAGAAGAACTATAAGACATATGATGTATATTTTACCTGCTCAAACATAAAACAAAAATTCATCTTTGGCTGACTTATGTACAATGCACAGTGTATATTGTATTAAAACAGATGTGTATGTTACTTCCTTTAAAATTGTATTTTCAGAACAAGGGGACCAGACATCAATAAAAATGGAGGGCCCAGGTGATCCAACATCCAAAACAGCTTCAAATCTGCTAATTGAGAAGATCCAGCCTCACAGAACACTCCAACCAAGACTTAACAATTATCCTGATTTTCTCAAGGGTCCCCCAAAGATTCCAATGCCCCCAAACAACAGGAAATAGTCTAGAGAATGATGCCCGTATTCCTAAAAGATGTGTTATGAATGTTTCATTTAAGGGGGTTGGTTACAAATGGTTATTGGTCTTAGAAAAAAAAAAGACTAAACAAAAGAGTTAAATTCAAAAATCTCTAATGATGAAACAAAAGGGTAGATTATTGACTCTTCTTTAATCCAAAAAACAACTATTAATTTCAAAATATTTTACATTGGTATGGACTTTGGTTTATTGATATAAATTTAAAGTTATTTTACTATACTATATGCATGTTTCTACTCTTGTTTGGGATATTTTGCTTATGCAACTCATTTAAAATGTAACATATAACTAAAAAATATAGATTAACAGTCATCCACAGAGTCAAATTTATAGTCATATTAGCTACACTTTCAAGGTTATACACAGATGTATTTAGATAGATAGATAGATAGATAGATAGATAGATAGATAGATAGATGTCTTCAAACACTTCAAAAAGCTGAAGAATATGGCATTTAATATGTTTAATAACCTAAGGCTTTTCATGACAGTGAGACATGTCTCCTCCTGGCAGCGCCAATCTACTTCAGAGAAGATGATGAGCATTGAAGAAACTATGTATGGAGTTTGTTTTCTTTATGGCAAAAGCTAGCCATAGGACACAAAAGAAAGCAACTGCCAAACTTTGCCAAGACAATGTAGGACAGGCCTTCAAAATTCCCAGCTCAGAAATGTCTGTCGGATATACCAGGGCTGTAGGCCAAAGCTGATGCCCCAATGTCACAAAGGAACTTTGGGTGGCTGTCCAGGCAGCCAGATGTCTCTGTCATTTTGGAAGTAGCTTGCACTGCACTTCCTGTATACTCAGGTAATTTTATATCCTTTGAGGTCTTTGATGGAATTGAAGACTACATAGTCATAGTTATAGTTTTCCTTAGTTATGATAGAAAGTAAATTAGGTACAGAGCTTTGTACTCATCAAGATAGAATAAATAATAGAGTATTTTCTCTATGTTTGCCAAATACAAATGGACTGGATATTCTAACTGTAATTCTTACTTGATGATTGTTTTGTTGCATATAATTTTACTATGTTAAAGTTGAAACTTTCCTTTTTAATTAGACAAAAAAGGGGAAATGTGGAATATTCCTTTACACTGTGTGAATATATGTCACTGTGATTGGTTTAATAAAGAAGCTGACTGGACAACAGCTAGACAGGATAAGGTTAGGCAGAAAAGCCAAACTGAGAATGCTGGGAAGAAGAAAGTAGGAGTCAGGAGTCAAGAGAGAAGCAGAGAGAAGCAAGATGGACATGCTGTACTGAGAAAAGATATTGAGCCATATGGCAAAGCATAGATAAAAATATGAGTGTTGTAGAATATTATTTTAACATGTGTTACATTTGTTTATGCTGTGGAACATTTGTTTAATGATCCAAAGATATGTTGCATTCTTTTGTGTTGCATTTGTTTAACTCTGTGAAGCTGTGTTACTTTGCCTGTCTAAAACACCTGACAGTCTAATAAAGAGCTGAATAGCCAATAGTAAGGCAGGAAAAAAGATAGGCAGGGCTTGCAGGAAGAGAGAATAAATAGAAGGAAAAATCTGGGAGGAAGGAGGAGAAGCAAGAAAAGGAGAGGAGGATGCTAGGGGCTAGCCACAGAGCCAGCCATAGAATAAGAGTGAAAATAAGATAAAGATACACAGAAATAGAGAAAGGTAAAAGCCCAAAGACAAAAGATAGACAGGATAATTTAAATTAAGAAAAGCTGGCTAGAAATAAGCCAAGTTAAGGACGGGCATTCATAAGTAAGAATACATCTCTATGTGTACTTATTTGGGAACTAGGGCCCTAAAGAGCAAAGAGTAAAAGAGCAAAAACAATGTAATGGAAATGTAAGAGTTAGCTAGTAACAAGCCTGAGCTATTGGCCAAGCATTTATAATTAATATTAAGCCTCTTTGTGGTTACTTGGAAGCAGATTGCAGGACAGAAACTTCCACCTACATTATCAACCACACTTGGACTAAGACTGCTCAAATACACCTCCTGTCTACCTTGCCCCAATTCTTTCTCTGTTTCAGCCTTTAATGTGAGTACCCTGGAGAGATCTTCAGTTTCTCTTCCCAATACACAGTGATCAAACCTCCTTTCTCTGCTTTTCCCCACTCCTCATCCCTTGGTTGGCTCTGTGAGACAGGTGGTCGAGCCTAGACTGTTGGGGCTGCCGGGACCTGGGCTTTCACTCTACAACTATGGTTCCATCCCTCCCTCCCTGCTGGGGAGGAGTTGAATTCTGCAGTCTATATCCGTCTTGTAAAGATGGATTCTTTGTGTTGCCAACACAACGACAAGATGAGAGTTACCATAGCTGAAGCCTGCCGTAGTCGGTGCGTTCTTCCCCTTCGTACTGACTGGGTACCGCAGCCTGGTGACAAGTCCTGAAGAGTGAAGAAACCATTGCAGTTGAACTTCATCTCAACCATTCTACTTGGTCAAAGACTAAACAAGAAGCACCTAGGAAACGCTCATTCACTCATTATTTAGACCTCCTCTTCATCTGCACATGGCACTGCAGAGCATGCTTTCAGCCATTCTACACATTTCCTTTTCAAGGCAGTGTTTATCTGGCACAAGGCTAGCTTCCTCTCTCCTCCAACACCCTAAGATATTAAAAAGGTTTCCAGCACTTATTATCAGTGAGTTAATGATCTTTTCCAATATGAGATCTGAATTATGAAAGAGAATTTTTATTAGTCCACTACAAATTAAAGTGATTCACCTGATATAACTCTGTTTGTGACTGTGGCATTAAAATCATGCCCCATGGTACTAGCAATGAGGACTATCAACCACTGGAAATCAGTGAGGAAAGTCAAATCCTTTAAGTCATTGAGAGCCCCAAAGAAGAAACAGGAGCCCTCTTCCAGGAATACCTGAATAAATCTGTAATCCCAATAGAAAGCATATTGCATCATAATTTAAAATTGTATGCATATGGATTGATGACCATCTAACATCCACTATACTCTCCTCGAAGGCTGGTTTGGTTTCTTGCAGGAAGTAGACACTAAATAAAAGTTAGTTAAGTAAATTAAGATAGTGGTAAAAAAAAAAAAAAGAAGACATAAGAACACAAAAAAAAAATAGGAAAAAATATAATAAAAACAAGAGAATAACCGAACAAAGTTATAAAAAAAAAAATGTTTGTTTGGGGGGACTGATAAGAATTAATTACTCAAGTTGGGTTTGTTTGTTTGTTTGTCTGTCTGTTTTTTGTTTTATTTTGTTAGCTTTTTGAGGCAGGGTTCTGTAAGTAGCCCTGGCTTTCCTGGAACTCTGATCTATACACCAGCTTCCTCAAACTCAGAGATTCTCCCAGACTCTGCCTCCCAAGTGCTGGAATTAGAGACATGTGCCACCATGCCTGGCTTAATTGCTCAAATATTAAACACAGAATTGCAGAACAACCCAGTCAACCCACTGTAGACAAGTGTCCAAAGAAACAAAACTCTGTTCCCATATACACATATGAATACAACTGTTCAAGTCATCATTAGTCATGAAATTCAAAATGTGGAAACAACCCAGATGTCCACACAATGGATTGTTATCTGTCAATAAAAAGTAGACACTTCCTCTGGCTGCCTGCCTGAGTTTTAGAATTTCAGCTTCCTCGGGATTTCTTTCCTAGGGCAGGTCAGCCTTGAGCAGAATACACAAGGCAATCTCTAAGAATATGTTCAGTGAATCCATCATAGAAAAAAACAAAACAAGCAAAGCAAAACAAAAGGCCCTGGGGATTTACATCGTCCAGAATCCCTGGTAGGCTCCCCCCCCCCCCAGCATCATCACATCTGGATCTTGTGCATACCCAGGCTGCATCTTGGTTTCCACAGGCAGATGAAGGAGAAATTTTGTCAAGGTCAGTGTGCTAAGATAGCTTTCAAGGCTGGGACTTAGAGGGCCAACTGACTTCCTTACCATTTAGTAATATTACGAAGACACTGGGAATAATTTAAGAATTAAACACAGACTTATAACTTGGCCTGGGAACCTAACAACTGCACAAATATTATGCAAGGCTCTGCTTAATAATTTATACAGCATACTGGACAATTCCCACAGGTCAGGCCTTGATCACTTTTATCCTTTCTGATTATTTCAACAAGGAATACACGATACAACGTGGACAAATGTAAAAACATTACAATGCACCAAAACAAAAAAACAAAACAAAACAAAAAAAAACAAAAACAGCCCAGCCACAGTAGAAATGGATGAGTCTATTTCTATAACTGTTCAGAACAGGCAAATCTACTTAAAGAGAAAGGGGGTTAGTGGTTGCCTGGGGCTGGGCTGGAGAAGGCAGGGCATGGGTGACTGCTGACGGGAACAAGATTTCTTTGGGGGATGATGACAGTGTTCAAAAAATTAGATTACGGCGATGTGGCTGTTGGCACAGGGTAAATATTCTAAAAGCCACGGAACCCTCTATTTTAAAAGCATGAATTTCATGGTGTGTAAATCACATCTCAATAATTCTTCCTATCATCTGAAAAATAGTAAATGACCTCATAGAAGAGCAACCCCCTTTTCTTGGATTAACCCACAAGTCAGTTTTTTACAGGTGGAATCAAGCAGCTGGCCTGTTTGTACCTTTAAAGTTAAAAATGCTGGGAGCCTTCTTTTTTTTTTCTTTTTGTTTGATGTTGGGATAACACAGATTTAAGCTGCTGAAAAACAACAACAACAACAACAACCTGTGTGACACGATGTCTGACCGCCTGCAGTCTGCGGTGGTTTTACAGGTTTTCAACTTTAACAAAGTGCAAAGCAGAATACATTCTGAGAAAAGCATCCTTTTTGAATCTAGACCTTTTCTGAGGACAGTGGATTTTTTTTTACTCCTGGGCTAGCATTGTAAGGTGGGATACCAGGCCAGGCAGCGGTGTTGCACGCCTTTAATCCCAGCACTTGGGAGGCAGAGGCAGGTGGATATCTGTGAGTTCGAGGCCAGCCTTGTCTACAGAGTGAGATCCAGGACAGGCACCAAAACGACACAGAGAAACCCTGTCTTGAAAAACCCAAAAAGAAGAAGAAGAAATAAGAAATAAGAAATAAGAAATAAGAAAGAAAAAGAAGAAGAAGAAGAAGAAGAAGAAGAAGAAGAAGAAGAAGAAGAAGAAGAAGAAGAAGAAGAAGAGAGAAAAGAAAAAAAAAAGAAAAGAAGAGAAAAGAAAAAAGACAAGTAAGGCAGGATACCTTCCAGATGTGAGGCTGTAATGAGACATCACTCCCAGCCAATCATGTGACCATGAGGGTCACCCCCTGGTACTCTCCAGAGTGCCATGTTACAAAGCTAGGTAGATTAGCTGTGCTAAATACACTTTCTACTTAGGGTATTTCAACTTCTAATGGTGTCATCATGACATAATCCCACTATACGCTGAGGAGTATCTACACCCTGCTCCTTGGAAAGTTTCAGCATAAACTGAAACCCTGGCTCCTCCAAAAGCTTCGATGACCACTCTACACACATCTTTGACATTTACTTTCTGAGATGGGGGATGGGAGGGTTCCTTATGTTGCCCAGACTGGCCTTCAACTCTCTGACTCAAGAGATCCTCAAACCTCAGCCTCCTGGGTTGCTCATCAAGTAGGCACATCTTGGAATTTTCGTTTAGTGCCAAGGCTGTAAAGCACGGAGGTGTGAATATCCACACAATAAAGTCCTTGACTTCTGTGGTGGAAACACAGCATGTCTATGAAATCTGATGTGATTTCTTGTTTTTCTTTGGATACAAAATATCCTTAATAGTTTTTATATCAACCATACTTTACAGATGACTACACAAACCTCCCTTCTGAAGAATTTCGCAGTATCTGATCATGGGGTCACTAGTCCTCATGGGAATCCACAGCTCACTCACCTGCTGCATTGTGCTTATGGTATTCAATGATCTCAGGGATTGACCCGAAAGCATGCTTTTCCGATAGATAGTACTTCTTCGGAGATGTTGCTGTTTCCTTTATGTGATAATGCCTGAAACCTGATGAACCTTCTCTATTAAAAAAACAAAACAAAACACTGCATTGTAACCAGGTGGGGATAATGGAACTTCACCCACAGATGCCATCTGCAGGGCAACCTTGGTATGACTTCTTTGTACTGGCTCCTATTCCTGACACAAATATTAGTTTTCTCATGCTCTTAGCTTTCCCACTCACATCAACAGGTGGGGGTCTGGAGAGTGACCACAATAATAAGGTCGGCTGCTCACATGGGAATGAAAACAATAACATTTACCACCTCCAGCCAGCCGCAGCAGAATTTTAATTTACAGTTACTTTCTGTCCCACAGAGACATGGGCCTACATTGCCTAGAACGCTCTCCCTTCTCAAAGGGAGTGGACTAGACTTGAGTGTAGACACTCTATGGTAGATCTCTCTCTCTAGAATACAGATCTCTAGTTGTCTCATGCTTTAAATTCAAGATGATTCATAATTGCTCTTAGGGTAGAGCTTGGGTTCCTTGACCTAAGCTTACGTGACTCGGAGTGCGGTACCTCTTCCTCCCTCCTCCCTTCTCATTCTACAGCCACTCCAGACATCCCGTGTGCCTGTCTGACCTCACCATCGCCTCTCTCACTGCGGAGTCGGCAACTCTCTTTGCCTTCTCTCAGTTCTTCCTGTCTTGCTGTAAGGTCTCAGCTTAGATGTCACTTTAGAATAACTGAAATGTGTCTTAGCAATAGAACATTCTAACAGCCCCCCCTCCACCTTATTTTTATGCCACCATGGCTGCCTGCAGGCCTGTCTGTGGCCCTCATTAAAAAGCCTACCCTACTCAATGTAGATCCCTTTGTGCATGGCTCAGAGCATCGTAGTTATCCAATGAATGCTACTAAATCTTCCATAACTATCCTAAACAAACACGTATGTATGTATGTATGTATGTATGTAGGTATGTATGTATACACACACTGACATATATATGAGAAACTATAGGGAAATTTTCTGAAGAAAATAAATACAAAATATAGCCAGATTTTAGAAACGAAGATTAGATTTTTTTTTCTAATGCTGAAATGGAGTATCTTACTTTGAAAATTAGAGACACATAAAAGCAACATAGGAAGTTCATATAAAAACTCTGAGTTAAAAGAAAAAAATATGGGGGTTAAGAAGATAGCTCAGCAGATAAAATGCCTGCGATGAAAGTATAAGGACATGAGTTCGAATCCCCAGCGTTTCTATAAAAGCTAGAGGTGCTGGCACACGCCTGTAACTGCAGTGTCGGCACAGGGGTGAGGAGTGGGGAGACAGACTAATCCTGAGCGCTCACTGGCCGGCTAGTCTAGCCAGCTGGTGAGCTCCAGGGACAGTGAGAAACCCTGTGTCGAAAAATAAAATAAACAACTAAGGTGCAGAAGGCATTGAGGAAAACCTCTGGAAGCCAACCTCTAGTCTCCACATGCCCAGGTGAACTCCCCTGCACCCACACATTCCTAACATGCATATGCCATACACCCACACACCCCACACATAAAATGGATAATAATAAAAAAAAAAGCAACAACTAAAAACTAGCGCGTAACTACTTACCCCCCAAACTTTGTGTAAAGGGAGACTGTGTATAAGCCGGGTTGACTGGAGTCTCTCACCATAAAACCACCTTCTTTATCCTAAAATCCAAAGTAAGACATTCCTCTTTAAAATTCCAGTTACTAACGAAGTGGCAAAGATCCAACAGTTTTATCTTATCATTTATTATCATCCTCTGTGCAGCAAATCTGTTGTCAACAGGAGCAACCTAACAATGGAGCCTCTTGAGACTTTCCACCCATGTGACTTTCTGCCTCAAACTCCTGGGCTAGGAGATGGCGGAAGGCACATTCACATCTCCTAACTACAACTTCTCACACATGCTGAAGTGGGACCCACAGCTAGAGTGTCTTATGGCCTCTGCAGAGCCACCAGGCAGGTCCCGCTGTGCTGTAAGCCCTGGACTTGTGAAAACAATCATTGAGAGCCTCTTTCTGGGTTTCAGTTCATAGCATTCCCACGCCCCTGGTAGGAGCTTTCAGTTCTGCTCAGTACCTATTCCTATCCACACAGGCTTTCTCCTGTAAAAACCTCAGTGCTCTTTGCAAGATTGTGTTTAAACACCCGGATTCCCCTGCAGTTCAGTGTCAAATATCAGGACACAGGGGAGATGGAGTAACTCCAACAGAGATTCAAAACATGCAAACAACGTTGAGTGAGTAATGGTTAAGCTCACACCAGATTCCCAGTTGAAGGGCAAGAAATGGAAACGTCACACCCCAGACACTTCTCTACCAGTGGGACCATATCCTATCTTTAGTATTTACATTGCTTTAAGATGAAAAATGTGTTTCATAGTTGAAGAGTAACTTTTATTCTTATTTATAAGAAAGACAGAGGAATTAAGGAAGGCCCCACAAGCCTATCTGATAACAATTAGAATATTAATGATGATCATAAATTCATTGGTAAAAGATAATAAGAGCCACCATCTTGAAAACCTATTCTTTTTAAATGTGTCCTCATATGCAAATGTATTGAGTACCCAGACAGTCGTTTGAGTAATAGTTTTGTTTTTAGTAATAATCTTCTTCTTTTATCTTTCAGATAAGGAAAGGGGACACACAAAGATGAGACAACCTTCCCCAGTTACCTGGCTAGTGAGTAGCAAATGGGAATTTGAAGGCCAGGCTGCCTGGTTACTGGGCACCCTCTAGCTGTCTCATTGTGTGGTCTCTGGGGGTAGGAATGAGCCTTGGCATATAAACTATACTCAGTGCTCAGCAAAGCCTTGATGTTAACACCCAGACAAGGCAATGCCTTGAACTATCACTAAGTAAAACAACTAGAATGTCAATGTGGGAGCTTCAGACCTTGGCTTCTAAGTCAACTTTCCTACCTTACAGATTCCAAAAATGATTAAAACTGTCCCAGAGTACCCAGGTATTGTAGAGTATTATTCTACGGTGTGTTACTGTGCCTGTCTAAAATACCTGATGGTCTAATAAAGAGCTGAAAGCCAATAGTGAGGCAGGAGAGAGAAACAGGAGGGGCTGGCAGGCAGAGATGATAAATAGAAAGAGAAATCTGGGAGAAGGAAAGAGAAAGAAGAAGTAACCAGAGAAGAAGGAAGATATCAGGGGCCAGCCACCCAGGTACACAGCGAGACATGGAGTAAGAGTAAGATTCACAGAAGTAAGAAAAGGGAAAAGCCCGGAGACAAAAGGTAGATGGGATAATGTAAGTTAAGGAAAGCTGGCAAGAAACAAGCCAAGCTAAGACAAGGCATTTATAATTAAGAATACACCTTCATGTGTGATTTATTTGGGAGCTGGGTGGTAGGCCCCCCAAAGAGCAAAAACAAACAACAACACCTGGGTCTTTCTCTGCTCAGTGCAATTTCCTCTCTATATTCATTGTCTTTTCCTCTAATTTCACTTTAAGATGTGAGAAATGCATTGAGACTGTTATAATAGGCAATTACATGTTATTAAATTTTAATTTACAAAACTTATCACATAATATTAGTATAAACTATTCTAAAACAAATAACTTTAAGCAAAAAAGAAAATACATAGAAGAATTAAAATCAAAGCAGCAAATGATAAATCAGTAGGGAAGTTAAAGGCTGCTCAGTGGTGGGTGCTCCCTCACAATGAAGATTTCAAAGTGCCCATCCACCTTCTGCTGTACTCCAATGAGCCGAATCCTAAGCTTCAGAAGGTGACTGTGCTTTGGCATAAGGGTTTACATAGGTCATTAAATTAAGATGAAGTCATCAAGGTGGCTCTAGTTCAGTATGACTGGTACCCTTAATAAAAGAGAAGATGTAGACAGAGACATGTACATGCATGGAGGAAGACAAGATACAGGGGAGAAGAGCCATCTCTAAGGCAAGGAGAGGGACTTAGGCCCTCCCCTCACAGCCCTCAGAAGCAACCAATCCTACTGACCATGACTTTGTGCTGTAAGTCTCCACAACTACAAAGTAATGAAATCCTGATGTTTGAGTTACTCAGTGTGTGGCTCTTCATTACAGTATGCTAACACTCCAATACTCTCTTTTAAGTGATGTGAAAAGGACAGCCTGTATTTACACCACAGCCCCTTCAGGCTTTAAGCATAAGTACATGGAACCATTCATGAAGGATTCATTAAAATTAATCTGTGCTGAAGTGCGGCTTGCAAAATGAAGACAACCACTTACTTCCGTTCTGAGGAGCTGTTCGGCTTTGCTTCTGTTGGTATTTCTGCAATACCATCTGATCAGAAAGAGATGTTCATCAGATTTTGAAAATTATTTGTTATTCTTAGTCTGACTAACAAGCTAATACAGCTTATCAATAACAAATGTAAGACACATCACCATGGTAAAACAGCACTCACATTCTTAACAGCAATAGCATGTCTTCACCTCTATGTCTCCAGATTTTTCCTACCCACATTCTTAGGAAGACATCCCACATCTGGTAAGTGGAATCAAAGGCTACTTGTATGGCATTACCTGAATTTGTCAGAGAACAGCTTTGCAAATCAGTACTAGTTCTATGTAGCTAGGCATGGAGGTGCCATATTTCATCTTTACTTGTCATTCAACATAACAAATCATTTCCAATGACTAAATGCAAAGCAAGAATGAATTTTATTCCAATGATTAACATATGCAGGAAATGTCACTTTCCATCACTTTAATTCAGAGTAAATCTTATTTCAGTCCCCATCTCATCAGCATAGCAGATCATCAGGTCACTGTGGCATGTGTTTTCTGAATCTCATGGAGATCTCAAGTGTCAAGAAATAAAGAGCAACACTAAAGAAGAGGCCATCTAGGTGCTCCAGACTTTCTGTTGTCCAGCACATCTAGACTCTTGTGGTCACCCTAGCCTCCACATTGGTTCTGTACCTTGTCTGAGCATCCACCCTACCTCCCCACCTGGTCCATACCCTGAGGCCCTGCAGATCTGCCCCTTCCTGGCCTTTGGGAAGACTCCCTCTGTGTATTGCCATCTCCTTCCTCATCCCCAGAGACAGTCCATACTTTGAGCTTCCCCCAGGATCATCCCTCCATGTGACTATAAGCAAACAGGCCCCAAAGAGTGTGAATAAGATTGTTTTCTCTAGCCTTCAATTTTAAACTTGTCTTGTTAGATGTTTTTCAGTTGGCAATGAATCCTCTATCACTGCCAAATACTTAAAAATTACAAATGTCCTAAAGTCCCTGGTGCCTCTTTGGGCATCTGAATTTCCCACTGTTGCCTCAGCTTATTCACAATGGTTGTGTAGCACTGTTCTCTGGGAGTAAAACATTCCATCCTGCAGGAAGCTCCATCACACAGAAAGTAAACAAGTCAAAACAGCTTCAGGAAGTCCCTAAAACTGACCAGATTCACGGCTTCCCCTCCCTCCCCAAGAATGAACAGTAAAGGCTGCTGAGAGTCATTTTCAGACAAGACAAGCTGCAAAGAGGACTGTCGTCAGATAAGTTGCCCAGTTGCCTGGAAACAGCCGAAACCAGCCAAGCTGTCTGGAAGAGATCCGTGGAGTTACTTGGAAAGGACACTCTCCAACCTGTTAAGCTGCCTGGAGACTGTGCAGTGTGTTCCAGGTTCCCAGCTCTTGTGAGCTGTCACCCATGCTGGGGTGGCCTTGGTGATGCAGCTGTCTTTGAGTCATTTCTGATTCTGTAAGTGACCCCTCACCCATATTCCTGTAAGTAACCCCAGTAAAACTCAACAGTTCACCAAGTTGGACTTTGGTCTGTTGTTTGTTGAGTAGGGGTGTGTATGTGTGTATGTGTGTGTGTATGTTGCTGAGTAAGTGTGTGTGTATGTGTACGTGTTGCTTTCCCCAGGAAAAGTTTGGCACTCAACAGGCCTCTCATCCCATACACCCTGAACAAGAAAATACAAAATTCCCCATGATTGAAAAAGGCAAAATCACAACAACAAGAAAACAAGACAAGCAAGATGGCTGTTTTTAGAAAGCAACTGAATGCCCAGTGAAGCTGCCACATACTGTAATGGTATCAGAGCCTGCAACGATGACCCAGACCTGGGAATGAACAACATGTCCATCACACTTTATGAAATGAGGCCAAGTTCAACAAAGCTGCCCTTATGATCAATCCATTTCTGAGTGCAATTGAGATACAGTGATAAATTAGAAAAGATTCTGTCTCTAAAGCTTTTCTATCGACAAAAGAAGTATTTATCAGACACCCAAAACTGTCATAAAAATTAGTCAAGAAAAGGTAGCTCAGCATACACTGTGAACTAGCAAGATGTTTGAGACTGAAAATTGTGATTGGTCAAGGGAACAGAAGATCCATTTTCACATCTTCAAAGTGAGAGCAAGAGGGGGAAGGTTCGGGTGCAGGAACCTGGGAGAGCCACACTGTGGCTTTCAGAAGATAAACAGACACCAGAGCAACAGGGAGGCCCCGTCCTCACAGTTAGCTTCCAGACCCCGGGAAAGGGTAAAGGAAACTAGAAAGTGAAGGACTCTGTGCCCCAAAAAGCAGCCCCTTGAAACCTGTTCTAATGAGGTGTTTTTACAGCGTCTGCAGTTCCCGGAAAAGATCCTTCCATCCTCCGGACACGCCATCGATTCTACCCACAGTGTGTGCCAAGGCCTGTGTGTTAGCAGCCTGGTGACCAGAGTGGCACTACTGGGAGGCTGCAGAACCGTTCACTTGATAGGCCTTGCAGGAAGTCCTCGTGCCATAAGGGCACAGCTCTGAAGGGGACTAGAGCACCCCTGACCTTTCCTCTCGACTTTCCAATTATGATGCAAGCAAGTTTGTTTTGGGGCATGCTCCCATCGTGATTTCTTTCCCACAACAGTGCTAAAACAATAGCATCGATATATCATGGAGCAGAAACTCCAAAATGCAAGCCAAAGTCAAATTTTTCTCTTTACGAGGTATCTTGTCACACTGATGTGCAAATGAATAATGTAAAGATACAAACCCAGGCCCTTTAGGGTCTATTGAGTTATAAACAAATAAATAGATGAATTAACTGTGGATGCTATTTCACAGCAGCTCTTCCTGGCTTCTCTCCCTCTGTCCCTGCCCCTGTCCCTGTCCCCTGTCCCCTGCCCCTGTCCCCTGTCCCTGCCCCTGTCCCCTGTCCCCTGTCCCCTGTCCCTGTCCCCTGCCCTGCCCCTGCCTCTGTCCCCTGCCCTGCCCCTGTCCCCTGTCCCTGTCTCCTGTCCCTGTTCCTGTCCCTGTCCCCGGACAGGAGGAAAAGACCCTCTGATGAATTCATCCTGTCAGGAAGAGGAACACACATGGGAAGAATGCAAAGGAGCCTACAGGGCATAAGGAGACAGAGATGCCAGCGCACACACCTCTCCATAAGGTGTGGAGATGCCTCATTAGAGTTTAATACCTTTTGTACATTTGGAAACAATACCCAAGATTTATGGGTAATCTGTCATCCTTTTCTCAGGTAGCAGAATGAATTCGTTTTTTCAAACTGGCTAGCTATCCCATAACCTTCCTGAGGAATGGGACTTTACAGCAGTGTCTGAAGGAGAGGGAAGAGGAGATTTGAGGAAACCCAGTCTTCTGCAAATGTGAGACATGACCAAGTTTCTTAGAAAGGAAGAGTAAGAGTAAATCAAGAAAAAAAGACATGCAGGAATGATGCGGGATGTCTTTCTGTCCGCTGTGAACATGCGCTGCTCTGACTGGTTGATAAATAAGGCTGTTAGGCCAATGGAGAGGCAGAACAAGGTGAGGCGGTACATTCCGACTGGAGAGAGAGAAGAAAAGGAGAGCAGGACAGACTCTACGAGCCACCACCAGAAGCATAACGATGTGAAAGTACCTGGAAACCACGAAGCCGTGTGGTAATGCACAGATTCACAGAAATGGGCTGAGTTAAGCTGTAGGAGCTAGCTAGTGAGGAGCCTGAGCCAATAGGCCATAGAGTTTGTAAATGATATAAGCCTCTGTGTGTTTACTTGGATGAGGGACGTGGGTGGGAAAGGTTCATCCTGACCACAGGGCCAGGCAAGACCAGAGAAACTTCCGGCTACAAAGGAAAAACACGACCAACCAACCATGTGCACATCTCTGTCTTCTCTCTATTCTGTTCCTGTCTCCTAGTCCCACTCAGGGCTGTTCCCACACATTCTGCTGTTCCCGCCATTTCATTTGGTTACCTTATTCCTCGAACATGTTTCACTCAAGAACACTTCCTTCTGCCCATCCTAATGGGCTCCCCCCCCCCTTTTTTTTCTTATGGAGATTTTTCCTAACCTCTGGTATCCAAACTGTTGGCAGATTGTAGAGGTCAAACTAGGTTACTGACAACCCTGGTAGTCCTGGGTCTGACTTGGGGACAGCAGTGACCTGGGATTCCTGGCTGGCCCAAATAAACAGAAAAACAGTTGATTCAACCTCCATGAGGTCGTGGAAGATGTGTTACTAATGGGGCTGAGCTCAACCCAAGAAAACAAAATCAGGCAGAGAACAGGGAGGAGAAAAGCAGGAGACGGGGATTCTGCCTGCCTACCCTGAAGAGAGTCTTCAGCTTTACTGCCTGGCATAATGCCAATCTGGAATCCCCGTCCCTGGCACAGAATTCTGAGGGGACTCCCACACTGGAGTCACAGAGAGGAGAAAAATCCTTCCGAGAAATTAAATCTCCAAGTGACAATATAACCAAAGCACTCACTCATGTCCTAGTTATGAACTCCAGGGTTGAAAATTCTTATTTGAAATCCCATGAGTCATAAGGAATCTTCATAGTTTCCTATGAATCTTCACCAAGATTATCTGGTTTCCGTGAACCAAATTATCAGTTAGTTCTTGGTCCCATCATTTCAAATCAGTTCAAGTCTTGAGCCTTTGGGCATCTTCCCTGTTTCTAAGGATTTTATTATATTTTCCGAAGATGTATTTAAGAGCCAAACCACCATATTTTACATAATCCTCTATCGCAATAAGAAACCCTCAGAGGAATACATAGTCAGGCAACCATCACTGAGGAAGCCTCACAGAGTGCACTTAGAAGACCTACTCCATATAGGCCATTATGCCTCTGGTAGCCCATATAATCTACTACTCATCCCCCATTCTCCTATCCCCCCCAGATTACATGAAGCAGGCAACAGCTCTATGCTACAAACCTAACAGTTTGTCACTACACAAAGAGTATGGGCCACTATAGCACAACGGTAAGCATTTATGTATCCATATACACAGAAAAACCTTAGGCAATAGGAGTTCTTCAGCTCCATCACAGTCCTATGGAAAGATTGTCAAGCACACAGTCTGTTTTGGTAAAATGTGCTATATAATACATAATTGTATACTGTCTATATTTCCACTTCTAATGACACTTTAAAGGATCATGCCATTGATGTTGGGACTATGAGACCCTGATGGTCTTCTTCTAGAGTTTGAGGTATGCTCATGTCATCACAGTGAGATGGCAGAGCAACAGCTTGTAGTTTTAAGGAAGTGGATGTCATATTCACATCCTACCTCAGGAGGACCTCAAGAGAATTGATACCTATGGGTCATGCATTAAAATCTGGCTATGCACTGTCCGTGGGCATAGAAAGCACAGCTTTGGTCAGACAGCATGCATCAGAAAACCTGACAAAGTTCACACACGCAGGCTTCCCAGGTTGCAGATTTTAGAGAAATGGTTGAAGACAGCAAGAAGAGGCTAACCCATTACTATACCTCCCAGATGAGAAAACAATTACGTCAGTTATTATGAGTCCATACACAGGTTATAGCCCTTGGGCCTTGCCAGACAATAGATCAATACCAAGAACTCAGCAAATATATTATAAATTTATGACTGAATGAGCAATAGTGCAGTTATGAAAATATTTTCAAAGTCTGTGTAATGGCAGGAAGAAATATGAATGCATAATGCACTCACTGCTTAGTGGAAAAAGAAAAGAAAAATATCACTAATGTTAATGAGGTCAACTCTTGTTCATAATATTTTCTTAATAACATTTTTCCTATTTTCAAAGTTTTAAAAAAACTAATCATAGGCTGTTGTTTTCATCTGAAAAAAAGAAACAATGAAATGCTTTTAAAGGCTCCTCTGGGAAATGTTGTTCCCTTACCTTAAATGAATGAACAATGATATTTATTTCAAACTCAGCTAAGCTGTGATTGTTCAAATCCAGTTCAACTGTGCCTGCTTATATAATGACATTCACACACAATATATTCAAGGAAAATGACATAGAGAGATAAAACTTGAGAATTAAGGGTATGTTGGCACATTCTAAAGACATTAAGGTTATCCCTTAATCATCAAAATGTCTTACATAATTAGGAAAACAATAGTTTTTGGTTCTTCACACTTACAAAGTAAATGATTACTTACTCATATTGATCTAAGTTGTTTGATTTCTTTCCAGTGACATAATTACTTGGGATATATCCTTCACTCCTAGAATTAAGATGAGCACACAAACAGAAATGACTTTAATTTTTGTTTAAGGAAAGGTAATTGGTTTTCTAAAGCACATGACCTGAAGTTTCTATGAAAACCCAGCTATCTCATTAATTCAATATAACTGTAATGTCCAGTACTTTACAATGTATGTCCATATTTGATCCTCACAGAGATTATCGCTGTACAGACATTATTATACCCATTTCCTCATGGGGAAACCAAAACCTAGATTAAGATGATCTCTCAGTTCCCAAAGTCAGTCAGCATTAGGGTGTGAACTTGAACTCTAGATCTTTCCAATATTCCATGATGATCAATATTCCATGATGGTCAATATTTCATGATGGTTAATATTCCATGATGCTGGTCAAGATTTTATCATTTCTAAGGATGTCTTAAAGAAACCACTATATCACAAAAGTCTGTGTTACATGGAGTCACCTGCGCCCTACTACCTCAGCAAGTTCTGCAGGACAGCATCCCAAGGGTAGTCTATGCCCTCTGCATTGGTACCATGAGGAACTTGGTAAAAAGAACATTCTTGAGAGACCTGAATTGGGGAGGCCTGTGTGGCACAAAGGAACCTTCCATTTTACCCTTGGTGACTCCTATGTACACTATACTACAGTTTAAGAAACACTTCTATGTTGGTTATACAGGAGCCACGATGCTCATGTATAATTTTTTCTTTAAACTAGAAGCTTTGTAATCTTCTATTTGGCATTGAGCCTGTAGTAAAAGCTCATCATACACATGCATGTAAGCACTCCCACACACATACATGCATGCATGCACACGCACGTGCGCTTCACTGCACCCACAGAAGCCTAGAAGCAATGACAATACACCAAACAAGCAGAATCCCAGAATTCCACCTGTTACCTGTAAAACACTGCTTCTGACTGAACAGAGGCAGAGTTCCTTGGGGGAAGATGTCAAACTGCAGGCCCAGTGAGGAGAAATACAAGGTGAACTTGAATTATTTTACTGAGACAGAAAGCAGAGAAAAACTAACAGGGTCCTCAGCTCAAAGCAATCGGAACAATGGCTACACAAAAGCATCCACAACACTAAGAAAAACCTCTGGCTACCACTGTAATCATCAGAGGAAGTTCATTCATCAACTCATTCTGAAACATGGTGGGACTTAAGGATCAGCTGCACCTGCCTTTCCGGCCAGAACTAAACGCGCTCATTGATGAGGCAGATCCTTCGGGAATTAACAGCTGTGGGTGTGGTGACGGCAGCAGAGTTAGAAAAGACACCGTTTGTACTTCCTAAGGCAAGAACGGGTCTAAGCGGCAACCATTAGTGGATGCTAATGTCAAGAGCGGTACATTATGGGAACTTAGGATGTGTCCGTCAGGCCAGCTCCTGAACCATGAGCACCCTCGGCACCATTAACGACAGAACAGCGGGAGGTCATCTTGAGGTGACTAAGCTTCTCGCTCTAACCACCAGATTACAAAAGATAAGATGGCACAGAGGTATGCAAGACAGTCCAAGAAGGGGACAGTCCATGTAATATAGATGACGACTCATTTTATAAGGTAAATAAACTGATCTCACCAGATCAAAAATGAAAAGAGGAAAAAACTATTGTGAAGCAAAACAAGACTCAGGAGACACATCCAAGTCAGGTGTGGAGGCACACACCAGTGGTCACACCCCTTAAGTCCTAAGTTACCTGTACAAATAATGCTTGCTGTGTATACACACACATGTATTTTATATACATGTATGCCTATATGCACATTTATAGAGAGAAAGACAAGTTCAAATACAAAGTTGCTCCATTATACTGTGAGTATACAGGGAGAGAGAAAGAGAGAGAAATTGGAAGAAGAGAATTACAATAAACAATTTCTTAGGAGACTGTAGCTAAGTGTAGAGCACTTACCTAGCATGTGTTGAGTCTTGGATTTGATCTCAGAATACACATACAAAGAAGAGGGAAGAGGAGGAGGAGAGGGGGGGGAAGGGAGAAAGGAGAAAGAAAGGGAGGCAGGGAAGCAGGGAGGGAGGATGGGAGAGTTTTTTACTGGAGAAAGACAAAGTATAAACAGTAATTTCTCCCAAAGTTAAGCTGCTCAGATTAAATGACCAGCATATGAGAACTAAGTAGAATGTTCTAACCCCAGGAAAGAAGTAACTGATCAATGTGCACTTACTGAGTGGTTACTGAGGATACACTTCAGGGTTGGTGAGATGGTTCAGTGGGTAAAGGCATCAGCCACACAAACTAAACAACCTGAGTTCGATCCCCGAAACCCATGTAAAGGTTGGCAGAGAATTGACTCCACATTATCCTCTGACCATAGCTTAGCAGGCGGGCACACACACACACACACTCACACCATCAAATACATTTAAAAACCCTTAAAGTATACCTCACAGTGCTGCAAATTCCTGGTTGACTTAAAATTGTGGCTGGCTGAGCTAGTCTGTTTTAACCAATTACAGTGCACACATGCTTCATTCAGCGCATCACACGCACCCATTGCAAGTCACACACAAAGGAAACACTTACCCATACTTATCCCTTGCTCTCCACCAATGGATGTCATTCTTCTCCAGTATGATATACTCTTGGCCTCTCTCCAACCTGAGGTCATGTGCTTCTGTTGCTTGGAAGTCATACATCGCTACAACTATTTCTTCAGTATTTTCTTCCTCTGGGGGAATTGGTGGAGGAGGCCTTCTCTATGCAGAGAAGACGACATTGGCAAGTTCAGCTTCTATTTGAAATGGATCATGAGGCACAGCAGCAAAATACAAAGGACTCACATGTCACCATAGTGCAAAGCTTCAAGTCTAGTCTAAGCCACCTAGTGAAACCTGTGAGCCCTCCCATGACCATGTTGGTGGTGTTGGACTTTTTTTCAAGAGTTCAAGATTGAAGGGAGGGCCAAAGCCTGCCCTGACTATTCTAAGGGTTTTTGTTTGAGGATTGCTTGTTTGTTCTCAGGTCAGGGATAGTTTTCCAGAGAGCGAGGCAATGACAGTCCATGAGGAGACACTAGGTAGACTAAAGGACCACAGGCATTGGGAGAACAGTGCACCATGGAGTCTTTCAACAGATCTCCCACTCAAAGCAATGTGCACTTCTTTATGCCTTCAATGTACAAAGCGCACACTTAGGATCGAACCTGTTTTCTGTTAGGATCTAACGTTGTTATTCTAAACAATGCTACCACCAAGTAACATATTTATCATATAGAAAGTCCTTAGCTACAGCTGAGTTAGCCCACCCAAAGTTTAGTAACCTACCCAGTGACCCCCGGTTCTCATTGGCTAAGGTACTAACTATGTCTAAATTACATGTTATTCCACCATATCCCACTCCCTGGACACATCATTACATCACTAATGCCACTCCTTTTTTGTGCCATGCTCTTAAGACAGAAATAGTCCCTTAAAATGTCACACCTCTCAAATGACTTCTGAAGCCAGTCTGCCAGAAGGTAATAGGACCCCAACAACAAATGCTAAAGAACTAAACTGATCATCTTGACATCGAGAACTATTCAGATGAGTTCTATCACACCTGCTTCTAAGGTGGTCCTGGGAGGAAGCATTATTGCATGGCTGAACATAAATACAGTCAATAAACCACAACCCCTTCTAAAACACACAGGCTTGCAAGAGCAGGGAACTTAACGATTTAACATAAAGGCAGAGACCACTCACCTTCTTTGTTTCTGGTGCTGGGGGCAGTGCTTTTCTTATACCTGAAAGTGACAATAAATGTTGACTTAAAGTTGTGGCTGTGGATCACAATGGTATCCCACAAGAACTGATGGAGAGAAGATACCACTGGTGGAGAATGAGCACTAGGTAGGCGACCACTGTGCCCAACTCCCAACATACCCTCCTAGCATGATGATCTCAGGATTCCCCAGACAGCATCATCTTGGCTCTTACATGAGCTACAATCTAAACTGCAGCTGGGGTCTGATAGAGTGAGTGCCTAGCAGTGTGAGGTGCAGTGGGTAGTCATTCCAGCTTTGATCTGGAAGTTCCAACCCCCATTGAGACTCTGGCAACTGTCACACCTACAAGGCGGGGCCAAGGGAGGAGCCGGGAGACCTGAGATCTGGATGGGCAGCGCTCTCTCTGTTCCCGGACCCTTGACAGTAGAAGTTGACTGAGCAGAGCTCCAGAGAACACCGTTGGACTTTGATACACCTTCCCCAGACCCCACGACCTACCTATCCCTTTTTTGTAAGTTACCCACTAAATAAATCTTCCTTTTAACTACGTGGAGTGGCCTTAATAATTTGACCAATAGTGAGGCCCTGGCTTCAGTCTTTAGCATCACATAAAAATAGATGAAGAAATGTCTAAGTCAAGTTACAGTAATGCTCCCTTATCTACGGCTCCACAATTGGAGTTGCACCATCGAGCCATGGTGTGAAAATATTAAATGGAGCGATTCACAAGCTTTCATTTGTACACTCTTCTGAGAGGTGTGACGAAAATGTCAGGCTGTCTGGCTCACACCCTCCCGGGAGGCGAATCATTCCTTCATCTAGCATGTCCACTCTGCATCCCCTATCCAGGCCATTGGTTACTTTACACTCTCAGCTCTCATACCAACCGTGGTGGTGTAATCACAGCACATCAAACATTTTTAACTGAGTGATGGCCCCAAATGCAAGGATAGCAATGCTGGCACTGAGATACACCAAAGAGAAGCCGAAAAGTGGACCCTTGATCTGAAAAGCTGAGAGGTCTTGATTGAATAAGGAAAGAAAAAAAAATGCTGGTGTCGTTAAAATCTGCAACACAATAAGAAACTGTGTGTAATAACTTATTGCAGCATGTTATTAGAGTCATTTTATTTTATTGGTAGGTATAATAGCTAACCTCTTACTGTGTCCAAATTTTATATATATATATATATATGTATATGTATATATGTATGTATATGGAAACAGTATACATACAGTTCAATATGACCTGTACCCTGGGGGTCTTGGGACAGATCCTCTGTATATAAAGTGGCACCACCGTAATGATAACACTGAGAAATGCATCAATTTTATCAGTCTATCCCTCTTCAGTTTGGTGTGGTACATGGTTACCCACACATGGATGAAGTCCTAATCAAAGGAGTGGGCCATTTTTAGACCCTGTCCCTGTACAACCTTCTGTGGGCATTCTGGATCCTTTCCCCACTCAACTGCTGAAGGAGCAAGAGTGGCAGGATTAGAATAATCTCTACAGCCACCTGCGGCGCCACTGCAGAACCAACCTGCCAGCCCTGGGCCAGCTGCTCGCCTCTGTTTTACTACCTGAGAGACTAACAAATGACTAGCTTTGACTAACTAACTTCCCAGTCATTTCTCCAGCAAGTCGGAGCGGACTTTACCCAGGTAGGCAATAACAGCGGCCTGGAAGTTTGGAGCTTGCTTGTTAATGTGCTTGTTAATGTCAGGATGGCTACCCCAGAGGAGTGGGGGAACTCGGAATTAGAGCTGTCCCCGCCCCATGCCACAGACCCGACAAATGGCCATTCTCCCCCTCCCTGGAAGTTGCTGGTTCACATGGTCGTCGTGTGCACACAGTGCAGGGTGACAGCATGGGGTGTCCCGTCCTCCTCAGCACTAGTAGCTCTGGTCTCTGGTTTTCACTCACAACTAAGAGCCTCTCACAGCAAGGGTTTCTAAGGGCCCTGGGTAAAGAATTAAGCTCCTGCCCTGAATCTGAGTCTGGGATCACAGGCCTGTGGTCCACACTTTTAAAGGATTCATTTTAGCGGCCTTGCTGTTGTGATAAAAGCTCCCCAGAGAGGCCTCGCCTCTCTAAGGCCCACGGCTAAGGAAACACCTTCACTCTTATTTTGCACTTTTCCGGGTAGTGTGCTCTACTTGATCAGAGTCAAAATCCCATCACTCCTCCCAACACCAATGGTCCGATCACTCTGAGTACATCCCACTAAAGAATCAGGTGAATACTTACTACTCTCAAAAAGATTGTATTTTTCACATCCCGGCGCTAGTTTTTCTGTTTGTCTACAACACTGGTAACTTCCGTCTGTCCAAAATTTAGGATGATACTTAATCATAATATTATTGTTGTTCTTTATTTCTGTAATTCACAGACACATGAGTGGTTAGCGCCATAAAACAAACTGAAGTTATGTGAGTAACTGTCCATCATTACTTCTTACTTGACCAACATGCTTATTATGGGAATGTCATTGGGACATTACATGTTCAGTATTCAGAAAAGCTAGATGGCTTTCTATCTTTGTCCCCTTTCACTGGTGAAACATGCATGTGAAGAGAAGTGAATCACTGCTACCCCACGGTGGGTCAATGCCCACTACTGCTGTGTTCCATTAAAGAAAGGAGTACTGAGCAAGACAAGCTGTCCATTTAAGCACTTCACCATGAAAATGCCATTCCATCCACACCAAGTGTGTGATGCAGGCAATTTCTTAGGACATACAAATTCTGGCATTCTAAAAGCTCACGCTTTATCACCTTCAACCACATTGTGTGATAAACGGAAGTATGCTTTTACTAGGAAGAAAAGCATTCAACTATAAAGAAATGAGACTTTAAAAAGGGAAATCTGTCTTCAATGTGTTATCACTTCACATGACTGACTGTCCTTGGAGAGATACTCATTATAATTAATTATAAATGCAAGAGCTATATTAGCAATATGTCTTTTTTGTGATATCCTAGGATTATATAGAATACATGAGTTTTTACCTTCTTTTAACTTCTTCACCCATCGGTCCCTGCTTTGTGGACTAGGTGCAAAAATATAAAGTGTGTTAGCATCATGAACAACCTAGAATAAAAAAAAAAAAGATGAAGCCAGTGACAATATTTGGACACAACAAGTCTGTCTAGCAGAGCCCTGATTCTACAGGCATTAATACATAATTCCTGAGTGGCTGAAAACACATCCATTACTTCAGAAATCTAGTTTCCAAAGAAACTAGATTTTTTTTTTTAGTTATAAAAGAACATCTAATTCTTAATTTCAACATTAAGTGGGATGTATGTTTTACAAAGGATTATGGGAACTCTGGGAGTAAGTGTGTGTGTGTGTGTGTGTGTGTGTGTGTGTGTGTGTGTGTGTGTGTGTGTGTTAGAGACTAGATGATGACAGCCTGGCGTATTGTCTCTCAAGTGCCTTCGACCCAATTTAGTTAGACAGGGTCTCTCACTGGCCTAAAACTTACGAAGTAGATTAGGCTGGCCGGCCAACAAGCCTCGGCATCAGCCTGTCTCCAGCTCCCCAGTGCTGGAATTACAAGCACGTACCACCACACCTGGCTCTTTTTATGTGAGTACTGAGATATGTATGACTCGGGTCCTCAAGGCATTTACTAACTGCCCAGACCCAGGATTGCATCCTCACAGAGGAAAACAGATATGGACAGCTATCAGGATGCCTCACTGATCTTGGTGTTTATTTCATTTTAGCTAACTAAAGTTCTGAGGATAAACTTGGTACCTCGGAGCTTATTCTAACCCAGTATATTTCTAAATAATATTTGGGGTGAATTTCAGTATCGCTCCTGTCCTGTCCTTTTGCCCCATCAGTGAATGCAGTCTATATCTTTAATAAGTGCCACGTCTTACAGTTCTAGGCTGTGGCTTCATAGATGTCAACTCAATCCACCAAGAGATGAGCACTTCCATTTTGTAGACAAGAAAAGGAAGGCCTAGCCAAGACCCTACGCTCCTGTATAACTTCAGGAGGACCACTCACATAGCAGGCATGACTAGTCTTATTCTGTATTTGAATATGAATAATAAGCCTTGGAAATTAACCTAGGAATCCTGCCACTGCTCTGAGATGTTATCCCTGACAGCTAGTCACAAGGCAAAAACACTCTGACCTGACTAAAACGTAACGTGCTCTATTATAAACCTCCCTTTACCAGGCCAATACCCATTAGACTGAGAAGCAAGCCATGATCTCGTTGGTCACAGCTGCCCTTTACCTGGTTTAATAGGTAAACCCTTCCAAATTCATGTCAACACCTACATTTTGGTGGGACTGCCGAAAATACAAAAGTATATCAAACATGAGCCTACTTCTAAGATATATCTAGAAATGCTATATTACAAGACAGAACGTGAGAGGCAGGACCAGAGATGCGTGCTAACGGAGATGTTTTTTCACACGTTAAAAAGCGGAGAGATGTTTTCATGTTTGCTACATGGCCTTCACACCTTAGCCAGTTTTGTCTGTACAGCCAGCTCTATACTAAATAGTGAACTGTAGCATACCAGGAAAGTCAGCCTGAATTGGCACACATAGCTAGAAAGGAAAGCTTGGGCTTGGACCATCCCGAAATCTACAGTGTTGTTCTAATAATAATCTGTTCAGTGTATTAATTTGTTGACTTCCCAATTCAGTCTAAACACTTTACAGATGCCTCCTGGTTTGATCTGTAGGACAGCCAGGATCTCTATTGATGGAGCAGATGTAATTATATCTATTACCTTGGTAACATGGGGCATTTTTGTATTTGTACAAGGATTTCTAGAAATACTGCCTGTAATCTGAACAAAAAAAAATGTCTAATTTTGACATCTCAGGCAGTTTGGTTGTCTGGGAAGATTCTAGGGTACCAGTCTCCTTCCGCCTACAAACCACACAGTTCACACCATGCCCGTCTCACGAAAACCTGTAAGAGTCAGAAACCCCCTTTGTTAGTAGAACTGCGAAGTCTCTCTCTCCATTCAGGGTACCATTGCCTTACCTACAGTGTTCATCTTCTCTCTCTCCCTTCAAGACCCCAACCATGCTCTCCTAACTGTTTTCCCATGTAGGTGGCCTCATCCTGTATCTCTCCTAGTTCACCTGATGAGTCATTACCTGCCAGCTCCTTTCAATGAACTTGCTTTTTTTTTCCTTCCTAAAAAGTGCACATCCTTGACTGTTTTTTGTTTTGTTGTGTTTTGTTTTTCATTCACAATGTGGTTCTGAAGGAGTCATTTACAATTAGTGAGCATCACTTTCCTTGGTCATAAGCGAGGCCAGTAGAGCACAGATTTGTCATGTAGTTTTATCAACACATACTGCTACTATTACCTTTTCCATCAAAAGAAGCCCTTTCGTCTCATTTCTGTTTGAAAGTAAATCATTCTTGCTACTTTCCAGCTACTCAAGTCCAGGGGGAAATTCCAGTGGGCTTTGGTCTGTGCTCTGTGGCTAAAGTGACCCACAGGAGAGACCTGGGGTTTAGTGACTCGGGATCAGTGGTAGGCTACAGTGCCCAAAACAGAAACAAAGTGGCTGCCTAAGTCTTAAGCAGTTAATGAAGAGAGGCAAGGACTACGAAGATGACAAGGGAGTCCCCAAATCAGCCACCAGACTCGGGACAGGAAACTGTCACTTCAAATGGGAACAGGACAAAGGTGGGCTGTTGGAATTCCTGTCCACTCCCCCAGCTACATGACCACACATGCAAAGTTCAGTAGCCAAACAAGGGGTCTTAGGTTCTACATAATCCGTGCAGTGTGTGATCACTTAATTTGCACACAGTGTGATCACGCAATCTATACGCCTGCGTGGTGTAGCTCAATAAGCCCATATGCGCATGTGCAGGGAATGTCTTCCACAGGCCTGGTCACATTCTTTCCTGTCCTCCCCCTTCTCCTAATAAAACTCTTATAGTGGGTTTTGTTGTGCCTGGTGGCTTTTCTCGCACGGTAACAGCACCGTTTAATGAATAACATTGCACCCCGCCGCATTAAAACCAACACGGGCACCATGCTGCTCAAGGCTGCCAGCTCACCTGGAATGGATATTTATTTTGACAGGGAATGACACCATCATCATTCTTCACTATTTCCACACACTTGATTTTCGAAACATCGATGAATCCCTTTCTGTATTTTTTCTGTGAAAAGAGAAAAAGAGGAGATGTGTCACAACCACAGGACATAGGAAGACTATTTAATAATTATAGTTGATGATGGAATTAGTGATTCAAAAGATTACTACTTCAGAGCAGGCACAATAACACAAACATAGCCCAGTTGGTAAAGAGCTTGCCTTATAAGCATAAGGACTTGAGTTTGATGCTCCAGAAACCATATAAAAATAGCCAGGCACAGGTGCATGTAAGCCTGATGCTAAGGAGGCAGATCCCTGGGGTTCAGTGACCAGCCAGCCTAGCGACAAACCCTAACCCTAACCCTAGCCCTAGTGACAAATTCCAGGGCAATGGAGGTGGGGGAGAGGAAGGTAGGCAGTAAATGAGAAACAAAGCTATCTACAGACCTACACACACACACACACACACACACACACACACACACACACACACACACACAC